GGGGAGGGGGGAAGTGATGAACTTTGAACTTAAACCAATACTAGAGCACTGTTCTTTCATATAGTTTCAGTAAGAGTTTTGTGGCACTAGCAACACAAATAAGGTAATAAATATAAGTGCTGAAGATTAGAGTTGTTACAAGAGTGTAACAAATACAAAAGAGAAGGAGGAAAGATAGAGACGATAGATTATCTATAGAAAAGAAGGACCAAATCACATCAGAGCACCCGCCAACCACCCAGGAGCAGTGTCCAAACACTACAACAATTAACACACCAAAAAAAACAACCCCAAAATGGAGCGTACCTTGATGACCCCGACAACGGTGGTGGTGAGCGCCGAGTTGAGGGCGGTGCACAGGATGGTGGCGTAGTTGAGCACAAAGCCCATGAGGCAGGACAGGAAGAACTGGGTCACAAACAGGGGGTCGTTCCAAAGGGGGAACTCTAGCGCCTGTAAAGACACACGCACCGAAGGTAACACGGTTTTTGTATATATACGGTGTACTGCAGTGTCAACTACAAACCTGGTACAGTGCAGCTTCTCCATAACGACATCGTCAGGACTATAAAAAAATGTCGTTATAGAGAGGCAACCAAAAATTACTAATGATATATAAGGAAAAAATCGGGACCTGGGCACTAGAGCTGTGCCCATTCGACTTTACTATTCGACATTCAGGATTTTTGCACTATTCACAGCTATTCGAAACGTGGCAGAGCCATTCGAATGCCGTGTGATTTTTTAAAAACAGATAAATCTAATGCATTTTCGTCTCATTTTTCCCAAACGTACAAAATATTGGAGTACATTATATCTAAAATCATTAAGATAAATATACAGAAATACTCTTTATTTGATGGTTACGAGACAGAGTGAATAGAGGAGCCTACAAGAGTTATAAAACAATCCTTTAGAGAGTAGCTCTTACTATTCAATATTCACTCACCACACTATTGACAGCTCAAGCAAGGGTACTTGACTCTTGAAGCGCAGTGAATGTTTTTTCCATGAAGTTAGCAGTCGCAATGAGCTCCCCTATCCCTACTCGAAATTAGAAGCACTATACTGTGAACTGAACGGTGACGTGATGTCAACGCATTGTACTGTCTGCGTGTATGCGACAACAAAACATGCGCGCTCAGTGACTGGCGTTGAACAGCGCAAGTCAGATCTGGACTATCACAATATAAGAAAAAACTATTTGACGCCGCTGTGAATGGTGGAAATCAGAACTGGGATGATCAAATATAAGAAAAAACCATTTGACGGCGCTGTGAGTAGTTAGCGAATTTTAATGTAGAATAGCAGAACTTAAGTCTGGGTTTATGCTTATCATATATTAGAAAAAAAACATTCGATGGAGGTATTCGAAAATCATGAATAGTGAGCTCACGCTTTGAAGATGCGATGATTGTTTGTTTCCTCAAAATCGCACAGCACTACTGGGCACCATGTCGCTACACAAAGGATGTCGTTATATCAAAGGTCGTTATAGAGAGGCAGCACTGTATCGGACGAAATTACATTCTGCCACAAAATTACCCCCCACCAACAAACTTCTTAAATTGTTGAGAACTTCTATTCTATTCCAAGTGCCCAGTCTCAATGTTTGAACATTCGTTGAATAAAGAGATATCAACGCAAAAACATAAGATACATAAAAGGCATTTTCACTTCTTAACTCTTTATCTCCGGCAAGTCACTTCCAACGGCTCGCGGTCAGAACCCCTGTGTCGGTGAGTCGCTGACAGCAGCTCGGGCACATTCCCTTACGACGACTGTGACATCAAATTACTTTTTGGCAGTTGCCGAAAACAGGTCTGTATTATCGGGAGTTCATTCATTAGACGAAAAACTATCAAAATAGGTTCACTTGTTTTGATTTAATGACCAATTTAGTGACGATTTTATCCTTTTTAGTATGAGTTTTACAGCACTTGCAACACAATCAGTTCATGTACGTGCCAAAGATTAGAGGTGTTACAAGAGATTAACAGAAACACACGAAAGAAGGAGAAGAGAAACGGACGATAGATGTTTGATGGGAAAGAAGAAGCAAACCACACCAGAGCACCCGCAAACCACCCACGATAGATGTTTGATAAGAAAGAAGAGGCAAACCACAAGAGAGCACCCGCCAACCACCCACAGGCCTGTCGTTTTACCTGGTGGAACTCTCCGGAGTAGAGAACGATGAACAGCGTGGGGAAGAACATGAACAGGAAGTTGTAGTACAGCAGCCCGTACTTGCCCAACCCCTGCCACAGAGCACAAAACAAAACATAAAAAACACAATAATATGTTTTAGTGAGAGTTTTACGGCACTAGCAACACAAGAAGGTCATACAAGGGCCGAAGAATTAAGATAAGATAAGATAAAATAAGAAAATACTTTATTATCCCTGACAGAAATTTTTCTTGGCTGTACAGGACAGTAAAAACACATGCAGTTATAAATAAAAATGTTAATTATATATTACTCAAAGTTCAAAGTGAAAAGAGAAGTAAAGCTGACAAAATGTACATATCACATCAGATGCATCATTCAACCACATGAAGGAATTTAATTACAAGACCTTTGTTAGAGTTATATAGGTAGGCCTACATATTACAGGTGTTACAAGACAGTAACAAACATAAAAAAGAAGGAGGAGAGATAAAGATGATAGTTGTTTAATAGGAGGAGAAGGTGCAAACCACCCCAGAACACCCACCAACCACCCATCCATGTAAACGTGAGAGAACCAGAAGTGATATACAATCCAACCTGCCCTAACGGCCACTTGTCCAAGACATTCATCTGTCCAAACAACCACTTCAAACTTTGTCTTTTTTTCTATATATGGTCGCTTCTAAGGACAATCGGGCTAACCCAGTTTTCGGGTGTTTCCAAAAATTTTGACCTACACCAAAAGTGGGCATTGCCTTACCTATAGGAGAAGTCTGGTTTCATTCGTGGGTATATTTGTTTGGTAAAAGAGAAAACTCTCCTTGTCTTTTAGTTTTAGTTTTAGTAGAGGTTTTATGGCGCTCGCAACTGCATAAGGTCATATGAGCGCCAGAAGATTAGAGGTGTTACAAGAGAGTAACAAACATAAAAAAGAAGAAGGGGAGATAAGGACGATAGATGTTTGATAGGAAAGAAGAAGCAAACCTTGTCTTTTAAAGAAACTAAACAAGGGGCAAAAACTTTCACTTCGATTGTCTCAAAACAACATTTTTCGGGAAAGCTCCTTGTGCTTAAAAGCGACCATACATAACAACACTATCCAAGACATTCACTTTTCTGCCCGACAACGGGGGGGAGGAGTGGGGGGGGGGGGGGGAATACCCTCAATAAAAGAACAGTAGGCCCTCCACTTTGTTCTAAAGAGAACCCTGACCTTTGCTCCCAGCTTCTTCTTGGTGTACACCCCATTGGCTGCGGTGGCCACGTTGTTCATCAGCACGTAGGAGTAGCCCATGCCGTCAAACGCCAGGTCAGAGCTGGCGAGACGACCACAATGAGATCAGGTGAGATAAAACAAGATTGAAACAGGACAAAACAATTGCAATAAAAGGAGATAAAATGATAAGATTGTATTTTTAAAATAGTTTTAGTGAGAGTTTTACGGCACTTGCAACACAATAAGGTCATATAAGTGCCGAAGATTAGAGGTGTTAAAATAAAACAGAGTAACAAACACAAAAAAGAAGGAGGGGAGATAAGGACGATAGTTGTTTGGTAGGAAAAAGGAGCAAACCCCACCAGAGCACCCGCCAACCACCCACAGATAGTATTTTTACTAACTCCTGAGACATAAGAAATATAAATACAAAAATCTACTTTCACACACTCAGAAAATCTATCTGCACTCATTAATTCTATAAATCTATGCTCATATACTCAATAAGTCTGTATCAGTTCATAGACTAAGAAAATTCAACTAATGGCCAACATCAACAGCTAAAAATACTCACAATCCTGCAACAATGGCGCCCAAAATCATCAAGTACACAGAAACCTGGACAAACATGGAAGCCCTCACGCTGAAACAAATGAAAAAAAAAAAAAGGGTATAAGAAAATCAGCTGGCATCAACTCCTCTTACTGAAATGAGTTCGAGAATTAAAGCCAAGGGGTAACGGAAAATTTGGAGAGAGACAAAAATTGTGCGAGCCATTACAGCAGTGTGTGCACAACCTATTTTTTAAAATCATATAAGCTGACTCTGCATTTATTTTCAGTACATTCAGACCCCAGTTTTGGTTTTAGATAAGAGTTTTACGGCACAAGCAACACAAGCAGGTCATACAGATTCTGTTAAGTTTTAGAAAGGTTTTACGACGCTCGCAACTGCATAGGGTCATATGAGCACCAAGGGGTGGATGTCAACAGAGAAGTCCTTACAGGGAATCAGACTTACTCTGCTCACCTCTCTAGCCTCAACAGCACAAAGTCTGCTTCGACTATCAAGGCACCCCAGAAATAGCAGTTCACAAGAGAGTGACAAACATGCAAAAGAAGTAGAGGAAAATGACTATAGTAAGGATTAGGAAAGAAAAAGCAGCAGTTCCCTGTTGCAGTTCAGGCACAGTTATGAGCAAGACATTGATAAATCAGCCCATTTACAATTCTACTGTGCATAAGAACAAGTTAATGTCCCCCCTTTGGGAATGGCCTAAAGACACTTCAGTCTGTGGCACTGCCCCGGGGGGTTGAAGTACTCCGCAACTATGGTGAACAACACACTCACCTCACGCCACCATGGTGAACAACAACACACTCACCTCAGGATGAAGTACTCCGCCACCATTGTGAACAATAACACACTCACCTCAGGATGAAGTACTCCGTCACCATTGTGAACAACAACACACTCACCTCAGGATGAAGTACTCCGTGACCATGGTGAACAACAACACACTCACCTCAGGATGAAGTACTCCGCGACCATGGTGAACAATATGGAGAACCGTCTCAGCACAGTGAACATGGGCAAGCTGGAAGACAAAGACATCATCATAATAAGAATAATAATAATAATAAATGAATTTATAACATGCCAGAATCCACAAAAAGCGCTCGGTGACACTTACAAAACACACACACACACACACACACACACACACACACACAAAAGCTCTAAAGGAAGTAGGCCTATCAGCTGATGTTAAAATGTCTCTTTCGATTAATCAATTTAAAACAAAGTTGAAGACAATGTTTTTCAGAAGAGTATATCTATAATGCTGGAACTCTATATCTGAAATATCTGTCAGTTTTTGGGGTTTTGCTTTTGGTTTTACTTGGTAGAAATTCATGCATGTCATAGCGGCTCTACAGGACGAGTACATTATTTTTAAAGAAAAATATCGGCCTATCCGTGTTTGTTAAAGACATTTGAGTCTGTTAAAGACATAAATCCCCTCGAGTTTCTTAGAGCAAACCTGGCGTACCTCAGTTACTTAGAAACACACCTGACTATTCTTCACAGACATTCTTAAACTACTTAGAGACATACCTGAGTTTTTCAGACTTACTTAAGCTACTTTGAGACATACCTGACTTTTGAACAGACATACATAAGCTACTTTGAGACATACCTGACTTTTGAACAGACATACTTAAGCTACTTAGAGACATACCTGAGTTTTTCACAGACATACAGTCAAACCTGTGTAAGACGGCCACCCATTGTCAAGGAGAAAAGTGGCTGTATAAGACAGGAGGCCATCTTAAGCAAGACCGATCAAGATGAAGAAAACAAACCATTCCCTTCTGAAGTCCCAACCGAAGGTAGCCACATTGTTGTTGTTGTTACTGTGGTGGTTGTTGTCGTTGTTGTTTTTTTGTTTTGTGCTGCTTTTGAGCAAGGGTGACAATAAAACGAAATGTCAGACAAGGAGGACCGAGTGCTATTGTAAAACAAACACACAGGTCACCAACACTCGGAGAACGAGCGACGCTTCTGTTACAAGTTCATGTTGACGTCCTTTGTTACTTTGTTACAGACTGGGTAAACAGAGACCTCTCATCTCACTTACTATTTGTGTATGAGTTCTGGGCGGGGCTTATGGGTTATGAGGGATCACACGCATACCTCACCAGCAGCTGAAAATTTGTTACTTATTGGTCAACAGTGGGAGGGGCCTACGCAACATGATCAGTTGGAGGGACCACCTAACAACAACGACAGGTGATTGAATTATGACGGCTCGCCCACAATGCCAGGGGCCAGTGCACAATTTATGACAAAACATAATGGAGTCACTAAGGTGGCCGTCTAAGACAGGTGTTATTGCTTGGTGTGATAGGGGTTGTGTGTTAAAATATGGCGGCCGCGGCCGTGTTGGACAGGTGCCTGTTTTACACAGTAAAATTATATAGAAAAAACGCAAGGGGGGAAATGGAAAGTGGCCGTTTGTACAGGTGGCCGTCTTATAGAGTGGTCGTCATGGCAGGTTCGACTGTACTTAAGCTACTTAGCGACATACCTGAGTTTTGAACAGACATACTGAAGCTACTTTGAGACATACCTGAGTTTTTTTGTTCCACCGAGGCCAAAGATGAGATTAAACAGGTAGATTAATGGAAGTGGCCAAATCTGAAAACAAGAAATTGTTGGAAGGTTTTTGAGCTGTTATAAAATCATATCAAAACTAGTTCTTAATTATAGTCAAAATTTCACAAAACTAGCAACATAAACAGGTCATATAAGTGCCAGTCAGCAATTAGAGGTGTTAATCTGTTAGAAAGAGAGTAACAACATAAACAGAAAACAAGGAGAGATAAGGGAGACAGATGTTTGATGGGAAAGAAGAAGAAACCACACCAGAGCACCCTCTCTCTCTCTGTCTCTCTCTTTGTCTCTCTCTCTCTCTGCCTCTCTCTCTCTGTCTCTGCCTCTCCGTCTCTGCCTCTCTCTCTGTCTTTGCCTCTCTCTCTCTCTGCCTGTCTCTCTCTGTCTCTGCCTCTCTCTCTCTGTCTCTTTCTCTCTTTGTGTCTCTTTCTCTCTGCCTCTCTCTGTCTCTTCTCCTCTCTCTCTCTCTCTCTCTCTCTCTTCTCTCTCTCTCTTCCATCAACCAACCAACCAAATATCAACATTATCATGGTGGTATAGCACAGTTTTATTGCCATTTAATGTAAGTGCTTTGTGCACTCATTGACACATTTCAGACTTCTTATAGCGGGTTCAAAAACTCGTGGCGTAACTTATCCTCAAATATCTCTTTAACTGGTGAACCAATGTCACCCATACATTGCACAACAGTTTGTATCAATTTGTCTTAACTTTATCACATTTTTCCGCAAAAACTGAGGCTTGAATTAAAAAAAACTTTTCTTCATAAATTTATATAAAATACTATAAATCTCCATCAAGCTGAAAATGGGATTGTTCACAGCACTTCCCGCTTCTCACACACATTTTGTATACACAGCTCACCAATGACAATTTTTAGTGGCAAAACTTCTTACAAGAAATTAATCTTATAGTGAACACATTTTTGCACTAAAGGTTCCCTAAACATACGTTCAATAAGCATAATGTTACGATTAGAAAAAAATGACAGACTTGCTTTTAAAAGCGATATTGCCTGACCTGTAAACTTTTTTTAAAACTGTAGAAACCACCGACTGGGATTTTATTAGTATTTATTAAGGAATTTTCTAGAATACAGTGTGCAGGAGTTTTTAAAAATACTCACCTGTTACGACAAATTGATACAAGTCATTGTGCAAAAGTTGGAGAACTCTTGTCCGAGAGTTTAGGAGATATTTGACAATAAGTTGCGCCATGCATTTTTGACCGCACTTTAGGAGGCCAGCTGATACAGAATTTGTGGGATACATCCTTCAACAAAGAAGGAAAGGTTCGAGAAAATAATCCTCCATTCATTGAAGTGGAATTAGCTCCCGCTGCTTGTTAGGTGCAGGGTCTAATCCTTTCACCGAAAGACACCTACTATAATGCTGGTCAACAAAGCAGATACCCCTTGCTCTATCCCCCCCCCCCCTTTATTCATAGATATTCTTATGCATATATACGTAATATTATGTTCTGCGTATAAACCTGTCATGTCATTTTAAAATGTGATATCTCTTTAACTGTAATGCACAATGAGCTTTTTTCCCCCCAGAAAAATAGAAGTCTGCAGCATAAATGAATGCTGTTTATGATTTAATTATCATTATTTTGATTCAACAGGTTTCTTCAACTTGAGTTAGTTTGGGAAACTTTCAGTGTCAGATTATGAGATAGCAGATGTCCCAAAGAAGGAAAACGAAGACAACAGGGAGGGGAAATCAGCGGGGAGCACAAATGATCAACTTTACCTTTCTGACTGTATCTCTCGAGAAATCTGGGAATGTGATGAGACGTAGAGCTTTGCCCCCACGAAGGATGAGGATGCCCATGGTAATCTGTCGAGAAAAACAACCGGAGACGTAAGTTTCTTTTTGTTTCAGTAAGGTTTTACGGCGCTCGCAACTGCATAAGGTCATATGAGCGCAAAGGGGTGGATGTCAACAGAGAAGTCCTTACAGGGAATCAGGTTTACTCTGC